GATTGCTCGCGATTTAGGGAAACCGCGACCGAACCTCCAAGCTGTGTCCTATGCCTTAAGCAAGGGTACCCCGCGAACTACCGTGGATGTCCTAGGGCTCCGCGTAAACGTCCGACCCACCCAGCCCCCCGAACCGTCGGCCCAAAGATTTCGGCGCCTTCAGTGCCGAAACCCGCCTTCGTGCCGGCTGCAGTTCCCACCGTCTCGGCGTGGAAAAAACCGCTGCCGTATACGAAGGTGGGAACGCAAACCGCACCCCAGCCCCCGCTCGCGACACGCCCCGCGCCCCAACCCCTGCTCGCACCTCGCCCCGCGCCCCAGCCCCTGCTCGCNGCCCGCGTACCGTCCCCCGCAACCCTCTGTCGTCCACGACTTCGCGCTCGTGCGCGACTTCGTCTCCGCGGGTTCGCAGACGCGATATGTAGGTCGACAACCCCCGAACACCGGCTCGCGGCCGCTTTCGATCACATGGACGTATACGAGTCCGTGTCCCGTACTTTGTAAATCTTTACCGGTAATCAATGGCGCGAAACGGTAGATAAAAACCATTTTCCCTTACGTTAGCATTCTACAAGGCTAACGGACTCGCGCGGCAACGCGATCAAATTTTCGAATCCCTCCGCGACAATCTTGTAGATATTTTGTTAGTGCAGGAGACCTGTCTGAAGCCTTCGCGTCGTGACCCGAAAGTCGCGAATTACGTCATGGTTAGGAATGACAGACTCACCGCCTCCAAAGGTGGGACTGCCATTTACTATAGGCGGGCTCTGCACGTTGTCCCTCTCGATACTCCCTCGCTCTCACATATCGAGGTGTCAGTGTGCCGTATCTCGCTGACGGGACACCAGCCGATCGTTATCGCATCCGTTTATCTCCCCCCGGACAAGCCCCTCCTGAGCAGTGACATCGAGTCACTGTTCGGCATGGGAGACTCTGTCATTCTGGCAGGTGATTTAAATTGCCACCACACTAGGTGGAACTGTCATCGTACTAACGTCAACGGTAGGCGTCTCGACGCGTTTATAGACGACCTTACCTTCGAAGTAGTCGGCCCCCCAACTCCAACATGTTATCCGTATAACATCGCGCTCCGTCCGAGCACTATAGACCTGGCATTGCTTAGAAACGTAACTCTGCGCTTGCGTTCCATCGAAGCACTGTCAGAGCTCGACTCAGACCACCGACCTGTCGTTATGCAGCTCGGTCGCCCCCACAACCCAGTCACTGTTACGAGGACCTTGGTGGATTGGAATAAGCTAGGCACGTGCCTAGCCGAAGCCGCTCCGCCAATCCTCCCTTACGGCCCGGATTCGAACCTATCCCCCGAGGACACCGTCGAATCCATAAACATCATTACCGATCACATCTCTTCCGCGATCATTAGATCTTCTAAAGAAGTCGATGTGGAGGATAGCTTCCACCGCATCAGACTGTCCCCCGAACTTAGGAATCTCTTAAGAGTTAGGAACGTGGCAATCCGGGCCTACGATCGTCTTCCCACGCATTCAAACCGGATACGGATGCGACGTCTACAACGCGAAGTCCACTCTCGCCTAAGCGACGCGCGTAACGAAAATTGGCATAGTTATTTAGAACAACTCGCGCCCTCCCACCAAGCATACTGGCGACTAGCTAGGACTCTCAAGTCCGAAACTACCGCTACTATGCCTCCCCTCGTACGCCCTTCAGGCCAACCACAGGCATTCGATGACGATGACAAGGCTGAGCTGCTGGCCGATGCACTGCAAGAGCAGTGCACCACCAGCATTCAACACGCGGATCCCGAACATACCGAGTTAGTCGACAGGGAGGTCGAGCGCGGAGCTTCCCTGCCGCCCTCGGACGCGTTACCCCCCATTACCACTGACGAAGTTAGAGACGCGATCCACAACCTCCAACATAGGAAGGCACCCGGCTCCGACGGCATCCGCAACCATGCGCTAAAACTTTTGCCAGTCCAACTGATAGCAATGTTGGCTACCATTTTAAATGCCGCTATGACGCATTACATCTTTCCCGCGGTGTGGAAAGAAGCGGACGTTATCGGTATACACAAGCCGGGCAAACCGAATAATGAAACCGCTAGTTACCGTCCGATTAGTCTCCTCTCAGCGATAGGCAAAATTTACGAACGGTTCCTTCGGAAACGCCTCTGGGACTTTGTCACCGCGAATAAAATTCTAATAGACGAGCAGTTTGGACTCCGCGCCAAACACTCGTGCGTACAACAAGTGCACCGCCTCACGGAGCACATCTTAATAGGGCTAAATAGGCGTCAACAAATCCCGACTGGCGCCCTCTTCTTCGATGTAGCGAAGGCGTTCGACAAAGTCTGGCACAACGGTTTGATCTACAAACTGTACAACATGAGAGTGCCAGACAGACTCGTGCTCATCATACGAGACTTCTTGTCGAACCGTTCGTTTCAATATCGAGTAGAGGGAACTCGTTCTCGTCCCCGTCAACTGACTGCCGGAGTCCCGAAAGGCTCCGCGCTCTCCCTGTTATTATTTAGTTTGTATATCAATGATATACCCCGGTCTCCGGAGACCCATCTAGCGCTCTTCGCCGATGTCATGGCTATCTACTACTCGTGTAGAAAGATGTCGTTGCTTCATCGGCGACTCCAGATCGCAGTAGCCACCATGGGACAGTGGTTTCGGAAGTGGCAAATTTACATCAACCCCACGAAAAGCACAGCGGTGCTCTTCAAAAGGGGTCGCCCTCCGGACACCACTTCGAGCATCCCACTCCTTAATAGGCGCGCAAACACCTCCGCCGTTAGCCCCATCATACCGTGGGCCTCGAAGGTCAAATACCTAGGCGTCTCCCTCGACAGAGGGATGACATTCCGTCCCCATATAAAAACGGTACGCGATCGCGCCGCATTTATACTAAGACGACTCTACCCAATGCTCTGTAGTCGAAGCAAACTATCCCTCCGCAATAAGGTAACTCTCTACAAAGCTTGTATACGCCCCGTTATGACATATGCAAGCTTAGTGTTCGCTCACGTAGCCCGCACCCACTTGAAAAACTTGAAAAACCATTCAGGTTATTCAATCCCGATTCTGCAGGATAGCCGTCGGAGCGCCATGGTTCCTTAGGAACGTGGATCTCCACGATGACATTGAGCTCGACTCATTTAGTAAGTATCTACAGTCGGCATCGCTGCGCCATTTTGAGAAGGCGGCACGACATGAGAACCCTCTCATCGTAGCCGCTGGAAACTACATACCCGACCCATTAGACCGAATGGTAAACCGTCGACGTCGCCCAAAGCACTTCATTAGGGATCCTCCTGATCCATTAACGGTGCTTTTAGGCACCACAAGCACCGGTCACCGTCCTCGTCGAACCCGTCGCTTGCGACGAAGGGCTCGACGAGTAAATTAAACCATAGACATAGCCCACTGAGTTTCTCGCCGGATCTTCTCAGTGGGTCGCGTTTCCGATCCGGTGGTAGATTCTGCGAAGCACTGCTCTTGCTAGGGTCATTCAGTATNAATACATTTTAAAGTAAATTTAATACATTTAGTTTTCTTACTATTCAATAATAGGTTATTGATACGGAACCAATGAACCACACACGAAATCGCATCATTCACTTCGTCATAGACTTGTAATTGTCGTTTAATTTTAAATAATAAAGATGTATCATCTGCGAATAATACGACCTCGTGTCGGGACTCAATAAAACTAGGTAAGTCGTTTATATATATTAGAAATAAAAAAGGACCCAAAATGGAACCCTGAGGTACACCCATTTTCAACAAGGTACCTGAAGATCTATTACAAAGGTTCCGTATCAATAACCTATTATTGAATAGTAAGAAAACTAAATGTATTAAATTTACTTTAAAATGTATTAAACCATCTTTATATGTGAGCCAAGTGGATAGTGAAAGCACATCTACTGTTTGTATCCGTCCTGATAAATAGGAAGTAATAAGTTCCAATGCACCATCCCTAATACCATAGTGATGTAGTTTCCACACCAATGTTTCATGTTCAACACAGTCAAATGCTTTGGATAAGTCACAGAAAATTCCAAGACAATCATGCGATTCCTCCCAAGATTTAAAAATATTTTTGACTAGATACCTGAGACCTTACAACTTATATCGCAAGGTGGGTGGCGCATTTACGTTGTAGAAGTCTATTTGCTCCATCTTAACACCAGATGGGCTGTGAGCTCGTCCACCCATCTAAGCAATAAAAAATAAAATTTGATGAGCATCGTGACAATGGGTCATTATATCGATAAAGAACAAGTTGTTGTCGTTAATAAGGACGTAAACACATTTCATTGGGAAGATAAGTTGGAAAAGTTTGTGATATTCACGTTTGCGCTATTAATTTTACAAGCAGTGGCCATGATGTACTGCGTTTACAATAAGTCGTATAAAAGACAAGAAAGAAGAGAATGGATACGAAGACAAGCTTCAACGGTCGTGCGAGCTTAGTCAGAGAATCACATAGCTACGTCACGATCGGAGTGCATTTAAAGGGTAGAATAGTGATGTTGTATAGATTGTAAGCAAAAAAACTAATAAGATTTTATTTTCTTTAACATTTTAACGTTTTAACAGCTATATAGCGATGCTTTGATCTTTTTTCTATTTTATAATTATTTCCACCAGCAGATCTTTTACGCTCTTTAATTTCTAGGATTGAAAATTATTCTTAGCACTTCTTGGCCAACATTCAGAAATATAACAGCTTGAGGGAGTTCATATAGAGTCCCTTCTTTATTTCGCCGTAAAGTCGTGTTTTATGTAATTAACACCACAGATGAAACAATAGAAATTTTATTGTTGTAGCGGCATAAACAATTCTAAGTTATTATATTATATTAGTTATTAAACACATTATAAAATATATTTTCGTTTTTAAATTTTCGGCGGTAAAAAGGTCCCGTGACACAGACCATATTCTTTTTCCCACCTCTCCTGCGTTCCGGCTTACGCATCATAAAAATGTGCATTCTTAAACGCCACACCATATTGGAGAAGGAGAATCCGCAAAAAAAGAGAAAAGTGATCATAGGTCGAAAGGTTTGGAGAAGTGGACTCTGCGACCTGACCGGGTGGTATATTGCGGTGTATGCGTAGGAGTAGCAATTAGAGGTGCCGAAGGCACAAGTGGACACGAAGGGACATCAGTAGCATCCGGTTGCGCTGTTTGAGGCACAGAAACCTGCGGTGCTTGTGCCGGAATGAGATCTGCTAAAGAATTTTCGACGAAAGCTGGCTTAATTCTGTCGACACTGACCGTCACCTGTTCCCCTTTTACTTCAATCGACCAAGTTTTTCCGTTCTCGGCTATAGATACAACTCTATGAGGACCAGAGTAAGGTGGTTGCATTGAACGTCTAACGGAATCCTCCCTGAGCATGACATGGGAGGCGGTGGAAAGATTTTCACCTCCCCACAGTGTGGTGTCCGTCCGGCGGACTCCACAGATACATGAAATGTCAAATCACATTTATCTATCAACAGTGACCTGTCCGCTCAAAGGACTTCCCACAAATGCGGTCAGTGGCGGGCACAGTGGCGCGTTCGCTCAGCGGACTTCCTATATTATGGGCTGTTACATTTTTTTACTAGAGCTCTCGTTCTGAAGTACTTTAAAAATCGACTAAGCATGAATAGGTTCGCTTTATTACATAAAATTTGTTTGGTCTGTGGTACAAAAATTTTTCATTTTTCGTTGATTTAGTCGTTGATTTTATTTTGTTATATCTGTTTGAAAAATTATGAAATTTATTAAAATTATTGTGTAATCAGATCATTATATAGTGAACTTCAATCTAATAAGTACGACATACGTGTATTTTAGTAGCAAATGTAAAAAATTCAACCGTTAAGATACAAAAAAAACCGTTAGGTCCGCTAAGCGGATTTACCACAGGTGGGTCAAATGACAAAATGGCCGGCGGTAAAAATATTATGGACATGACCTTTGAATTTCATATGAAATTTTTTAATGTTTTTATTTTTGATATTTAATTTTTTTTACATATTTTATATTAGGATACCAGATTCTTCACATAAGCCAATCATCTTTTTTTCTTAGCGATAAAATTTTTTAATGTTTCTTTGTAACTTACAAGTAATTTTGATTAGATTGATTGATTTTGGTTGATTTTAGCACTTCTAATGTTAAAAAATTTTTAACCATGCGTGTGTTTATTTTGCGTGCTCAGTTGGTTTATGTTGGCTTTATTTTGCACAAATTAGTAATAGTAAGATTTTTTTTTATTGCTTAGATGGGTGAACGAGCTCACAGCCCACTTGGTTTTAAGTGGTTACTGGAGCCCATAGACATCCAAAACGTAAATGCGCTACCAATCTTGAGATATAAGTTCTAAGGTCTCAAGTATAGTTACAACGGCTGCCCCACCCTTCAAACCGAAACACATTACTGCTTCACGGCATAAATAGGCAGGGCGGTGGTACCCACCCGCGCGGACTCACAAGAGTTCCTTCCACCAGTAAAAGAACTGTGAAGCAAGTGGACGTGGGCTTACTGGAGGCGGTGGTAGAGCCCGTTCACGTGGCGGTGTGGCAGCCCGTGGCGGTGCAAGGACACGTGGTGGCCAAATTCGTCGTGACCCGGACAGGCCCTCGGTTTCTGAGCCGTATTAACTTTTTTAAACTAAAACTCAATTTTTATTTTATTATAATATATTGTAATTATTTATATATTGGTTTATCGTTTTTTCTTTTTTTCTTGTAACTTGAATATTGATTTATTCCTTAAATATTTATTTTAATGTCAATGCGTATTTCAGAATTCTTCTCTAATACACTAAAAAATTTACTCATTGGTGAACCTTTAGAGACACCACTCCACCCTAAAAGGGTAAGGGTTATTCCGCCTGTGGTGGAAACAAATCCAAGGTGACTATTCTGATTGTTTTAAATATTTATGTTCTTGATAATAACACAAATATCCATGGTAAACAAATGTTTGTTATGGTTTTCAGAGCAGAGTCTGTTTGGTCGTCCATGGGGGTTGATCGACCAAACAATGCCATCAACTTCTCGTGGACACGAAAGCGTTTTATCCATGCCTGCGAAGTATTTATCAAATATTTTTTATGCGTTTATTTATTTTGTTAAATTTATATGTAATTGAATATTTATTTAATTTTCCAGAAGTCCGGAAGTTGAATATTCTTCAACAAAAATTGATCGACCACTGTAAGTTCATCTCGGTTTACCACCCACAAGATAAAATAATTACTACCGTTGATTAAAATATACTTTTCATTTTGTAGAAACCGTCCTCTGCGAGATGAGGCGATAATCTCACTACTTAATTATGGTAAGACACAAACCTTATTTTTAACAATCGCTGATGTAAAATACCTATTGTAATCAAAACCAGAACTTTTTTTTATTGCTTATGTGGGTAAATGAGCTTACGGCTCACCTGGTGTTAGGTGGTTACTGGAGCCCATAGACATCTACAACGTTAATGCGCCACCCATCTTGAGATATAAGTTCTAAGGTCTCAATATACTAGGCTGCACTAAAAGTATCGGGAATGGAATATTTCCACTGTTCCTGTCATATTAAAATCTTTTTAATTTAAAACTCCTTGGTTTTAAAAATCGAATACCATTTATTTATTTAAAAAAAGATTCTCGGTCTTGTCACGAGGTTTTGTCAAACTTGTTTAGTCGTTGAGAAAATGGAATCGACTCGACAAAATTCAAGAGCGATGATTTATTATGACTTTCGAAGTGGTTTAACACAAAAACAGTGTGTTGACCGAATGATTTCTGCATTTGGTGATGAAGCCCTATCCAAAACCACAATTTATCGCTGGTTTGCTGAGTTTCAACGTGGACGTGTCAAGCTCAGTGATGATCCCCGTCAAGGTCGTCCAAAAACTGCAGTCACCCAAGAAAACGTTGATGCTGTGCGTAAGCTGATTGAGGAAGATCGACATGTGACATACCGCGAAATTCAGGTAACTTTAGACATTGGCATGAGTCGAATACAAATAATCTTGCATGAACAATTAGGTGTAAAAAAGTTGTTTTCCCGATGGATACCGCATTCGCTCTGTGAAGAGCAAAAAGCGGTTCACGTTACTTGATGCATCAGAACTCTCGAAGGATTCCACGCAGGATCCTCAAATGCTTTATACAACATTGTATCAGGTGACGAATCCTGGATAAACGCGTACGAACCCGAAACAAAAAACCAGTCACGAGTTTGGGTGTTCGAAAATGAGTTAAAGCCAACAAAAATTGTTCGTTCACGGAGTGTTGCAAAAAAAATGGTGGCCACGTTTTTCTCCAAAACCGGCCATGTTACGACTATTCCTCTTCTATTCCTCTTGAGGGACAAAGAACGGTTAATGTAGAATGGTATGCTAGCATTTGTTTGCCACAGGTCGTTTCTGAACTCCGTAAAGAGAACTGCAACCGCCGCATCATCCTCCATCACGACAATGCGAGTTCTCACACCGCGCACAGAACAAAAATAAAGTTTTTAGAGCAAGAAAACATAGAATTATTAGACCATCCGCCGTACAGCCCCGACGTAAGCCCTAATGATTTCTATACTTTCCCTAAAATAAAGAATAAATTGCGTGGATTTTCATCACCTGAAGAAGCTGTGGACGCCTACAAAACGGCCATTTTGGAGACCCCAACTTCCGAATGGAATGGTTGCGTCAATGATTGGTTCCATCGTATGGAAAAATGTGTCAAATTTCGCAATACTTCGAAAAGCAATAAATACATTTTTAAATAGTCATGTTGTGTCACTTCGTTAATTCCCGAAATTTTCAGTGCCGCCCTCGTAGTAACAACGGCTGCCCCACCCTTTAAACCGAAACGCATTACTGCTTCACGGCAGAAATAGGCAGGACGGTGGTACCTACCCGTGTGGACTCACAAGAGATCCATTTTTTTTTTTTTTTTTTTTCGGGTAGAGGGCCGAACCTCCTACGAGGTCCCCGGGGCGCGCGGGGTATGTGAGACTCAACGGTCTGCGTGGTGTTGTGAGCAGACCGCGGGCCCAAGGATTTTAGGACCCACCCACTAAACGACTCTCCTGCACTCTTACACCCGACGTCCGATCCCCTCCGAGGTCAGAACTCGGATGAGGTAGGGGGGCTACCGCGGTCAATACTACAACCAGACGGCGCGGCTCACCCCAAGGACGCCCAGCCGACGGAGCCTTCGAGGCGAATCGAAGGCTCTGAAACGTCGGCCGTCTCGGTACGGCAGCCCGTCGGGCCGCCCAGACGGTGCCGCTGGTGTCCCGGAATACCCCGCTGGACCAGAACCAGCCTGCCGGGTCNTTTTAATATGTCCCATGCCTGTTCATAATTGCTTTCAGTCACCGATATGTGTTTGAGTAGAGAAGCCGCTTCATCAGCAACACTTGCCTTTAAGTAATGTAATTTTTGAACTTTAGATAATGTGATATTGTGATGAACAAGTGAAGTAAATATGTCGTTGTAGGTTGGCCAATCATCATAATGTCCAGTAAACGTAGGTAATTGTATATTCAAATCTTGTTGTTTAATTGGTGTGGGGGTACCTGCAGTTTGTACGAAATTGGACAAAGTATCCTTTAAATCTGATGTTGTATCCATATATAACTCTTCAATATTGCTATACACATTCTCTTTAAAATATAATATATCCGATCTTTTTTCTTTGGTGAGGGACTTCACAAGAGTGTCGTGTTTCTTTAAATATTTGCCAGTAATCTTCGATGGTATTCAACCTCGTTTCTACGTACCCCTTCGTCATACGTGTCTTCGGACATTTTTTAATGTTTGTCGTGCATTTTAATATCAGATCCGCTTTTTCCTCCAGAATATTGATAAGTTCTGTGATTTGCTCATATTGCCGAAGTCAAGTCAATTTGAATACACTCGAGTTTGTTGCAAATCCGGTTCGATAAGGACCAAAATATGTTTTGTTCACCCACTTTGTCGTATTTAAATAATAACTTGGATAGTTTTATAGAATTTATTAAACGTAACTTTTTAGAGACAAACAATTTGTATAAATTTTGCAGCAGTAATGGAGGGAAAATGCAATGACACAGATTATACCTATAACATAGATTACCCAACTCAACACGTTGCCATATGGGATCGTGATATTATGGATTTAATTGTCAGGGAGACAAACATTTATGCACAACAGCTGGCAACAACCATGCTGGAGAGCGAAATAATCCTAGTAGCCGGATTACTCGATGGCAAGACACGACGGTAAATGAAATTTACATATATCTTGCCATCATCCTATCAATAGGAATGGTCGTCAAAAGTCGGCTAGAAGAATACTGGTATACCAATAGTGATATTTTCAGAACTCCGGGTTTCTCGGAGTACATGTCATACGATCGATGTATGTTAGAAATATTACCTAGACCGGAGGCAAAAATATTTAAAATAAAGCCGGTCATTGCACATTTAAATTTAAAAATTTTCACAGTTGTATACATTAGCACAAAACCTGGCCGTTGGTGAAAGCCTTGCGATGTGGAAAGATTGGCTTGACATAAACCAATTCATACGGAATAAAGCAGCGACAGTTGGAATCAAGACGTATGAAGTCTGCGAGTACAATAGTGGATATGTGTGGGAATAGTACCAAATCTTTCAAATTTACAGATACAAAAACAAATTTATCACTACCTGGAGGCGCTGTTACCACTACTAGATACAGATCATCAATCTTTGCAAATTTATTTTATGAGCAATTCAGATGCGGAAGTTGATAAGCGTTGTGCTCACAAACCAACAGTGAAGAGAACCATCGTCCAAACCAATGTTTCTTCGTCAGAACAACAATTTAGTAAACATGTCCAAAATAGTATTGGATCAGATGCCGTTAACGTCTCTTCGTAAGTAAGAATTTGTGCGTCTATTACTCCATTTAAATGAGTTTTAACGGATTTGATTTTTGATTCCCATAAACCTCCAAAACGTTGAGCCCGAGGCAGGATCATTTTCCAAATGATTCGATATTTGGATAATTGATCATTTCAGGATATAAAATTATTTGAAACGAGAAGTTTACACAATTCAACTAGCTGAGCTTTTGCGCCAACAAAATTAGAGCCATTATCTGAAAATATGAAAGAAACTGAACCTCAACGAGATATAAAACGTTTGAAAGCGACAAGATATGGCTACACCACCGCCACTACCATTTATACGACCATTACGAATAATATTGCAGCCAGGTAAAGCATACGAACATGAGGGGAAACAAGGCTTCTTAAGCCATAATTCGGAAATAAGGATGGCGTGGATGTTCTC